CATATTATCTCTCACTATCCCTCAGAAATCACACCATAAGGCTCAAGAACTGGACTCTACGGACAAATTCACCCCTGGCCATTGCGGAGGCGTCACTGGAACATACACCTGGATCAACTCTTACCCAACAATGGACAACATATCACGAGGATTTCACCCATCAATACATTGCCCCAATCCCAATTACAACCCTCAAGCTACACAGAAACCCTCAGTACAGTACAAGCCCCTCATTTACATATACACTCATTTACATATACACTCATTTACATATAGTTATTTTTTCTTTCACTTCTACATATTACATCATACCTGCAGCCTAAATTAGTGTATTTTCCTTGCATGACAGCTGCAGCTTACACCACCACACTCACTTGTAAACACCCCATAACCTGACCAATCAGAATCATTCTTTCAACTGTTTGGCTCACCACTTTAACTCTTGTACATGTCTGACCAATCACATTCACTCATTCATAATTTGTATGTAGCTAAAATACCTCATGTAATAGCCCAGGCCAGCCAAAATCACTCATTACTGGCTGCCCTGGAGCTAAATTCCCTCACTGTTTTATATATAAGGAGGCTCTCCTCCCAGCTGTTAAATCCTCAGTCAAGTAACACTCAAGCAATATTTGACCACCTTACACAAACACTTTTAAGCGCCAACCAAAACCAAATCAACAACTCTTCATCACACAAACTCATTCCTGAACTTTTACCCTATCACTTGATTAAAACTTGCCAAGCCAAGCTTGGTGGGTCTTGTTATCTGATAGTATAGAAGGGCAGAGTTTACACTCCACCATCCCCTTCTCCATTCAGCAAAAAGGGTCTTACAACCACTTTTTGAGTCTTACATCAGTCGTCCTTCCTCTGAAGGAGCACTTTGTTGCATACTTGATCGATCGGCACCCGCACTTTGGTAACCACATCACGTCTAGAGTTGAGAGTCTCCACGCATACCTGAAACGATTCATCAACTCCTCAACAGGCTCCTTTGCAGCAGTAGTCAAGCAAATTCACCAGGCCATTGACAACCAGCTCCACGAAAGATACATTGAGTCCGCGCAGCATCAATACAAAAGACTTACCGGCCTGCCTCCGTTGATCGCCAATCTTAACGGAATCATCTCCCACTTTGCCTTGAAGATTGTTTACTCATTTCACTTGGCCAAGCCTCCGACGATGTAAGACTCAAAAGTGGTTATGAAACCCTTTTGCTGAATGGAGAAGGGTATGTTGGAGTTGCGAGCTCTGCCCTTCTATACTATCAGAATAACAAGACCACCAAGCTTAGCTTGGCAATTTTATATATAGTGATAGGGATAAGTTCGAGATGAAGCTACCGATTGATATGTGTGAGGATATAAGGATGTTATTGACTGTTGGTTATATTGATGAAGTTGTTGTTGTTGAATATGGTTCAGGGCACTTTTGGTTTATGATGTTGTTGAAAGTGTTAAATCTGTATTTCAATGTATATAGTTCTGAAATTGTAATGTGGCTATGACTTGTAGTTATGAAATAATATATAAGATGGATTTATTTATAAGGGTGGTTGAGATGATCTGGTCCACTGGTGGGATGATGGAGGGAACAACTGGCAGGTAGAGGCCTCCTTATATAGACAAATGTGAGGGATTTTGGCCCCAGGGTACAGGCTGAAAGATACTACTACAAAGGGATGCATATAAATGAATAAAGGGACGCATATGTATGATCAAAGGGATGCATACATGCAATATCACTAATACAAAGGGATTCAAAATAATGTAAAGGTATTCAATTTACTACAAAGGTATTCAGTATGCAATATGCATCCTGTATTCATAATGACTATGGCTAGAGTGCAGAATCCAAGAAATATCCCGTGACAGGTTGAAATACGCGTAACTTCCAAACTATAAGAGATAAAGGTATGGTTGTAGTGGGTGACTAGGGGTTATTTTACCTGAGGATTCCATTTTTGATGTAATTTTTACCATATCTTGAATGTATAAAGAGATAATAAGAAATTTTTATATTTTCTGCGTAGAAACACAGTATTATTTACCACAACGACCACATGTACAGGTAACTACTCATCTTCCATGGGGATTCCTTGCATCCACCAAGTCCACAATGCCAAACGCGAGGGGACAAAGTTCATCACAGATGATTTCCATGCTCAGTGGCACGTCAAGAGTGATCTAGCTGTAAGTTCCTTATTTGTTTATCATCAAGAGGATCCAAACAAAATTTGCACAAGGTATCTGATTTATTTTGTTCATTCATCTGATCATTTGACAGGTGCAACTTAGTGACAACCAAGATGCCACGGAGGCACAGCAGAAGAGCCATGAAGACGCGTTCCTCAGCGAAGTTTTTGAAAAATTCTAATCCCTTCAACCTGGCGAACAACACTTCATGTTAGGCAAACTTCACAAACTGCTTGACGGAACACATGCAACCATTCCTCTCGAGGAACCCAAGTTTGACAAGAACCATTGATTCAAGGGCCAACCCAAAGGCTCCAAACGGAAACACAAATCGACGTCTTCAACCAAGAGGGACCCATCTGGATTTGAGTACGTCGAGGGGCAGAAGAAGAAACAAGGCAGGCCAAAGAAGGTGGCCGAATTGGACGAGGGGCCCAAGCGCAAACCTGGGTGACCAAGGAAGAAACCGGCCAAAAAGGATGAGACGGATGAGTCAGAGGTATTGTTTATATCCTTATGAAGATTTTTCCTGCTTCTGATTCATTTTTGCGTAGGCCATGGAAACCGACGAGGAGAGTGAGGATGATGCTTTAGATGGAATTGGAGCCCTATGTGAAAATATATTCAACGAAGAGGAGCACTCGGAAGAAGAACCAAATCCCCCAACTGTCAAGACGCCCTTGCGAATTAGGCCAATCAGAGTGGTCAAGCAACAACCAGAACCCATCACCGAAGTGGACAAACCTGACAAACCTCCTTTGAGTGAGGGACTGACTTGGAGTACAAACAAGAATGTGGAGATTGATATTGTGAGTAACTTATCTACTTACCCCTTTTTCTCATTGTTCATCCCCCCTGTTTCCCTCTTGAACTTTTGTTAGTATGAGTACAAAGACAGCATCAAGCCCGCTGGGGCAATCCCACACATATTACACATTCACAACATCAAGGGTTATGGAAATTGTGGCTTCCGAGCGGTTGCAGCCAGCTTGGGACGCCAGTCTGAAGAATGGGACTCAATCCGCAAGGAAATGCAGAAGGAATTCGAGTCAAACAAGGTCTATTCAGACAAAACGTTTTTGGATAACGTATGGGGAGCAGGGGACAACCAAAAAGACATCATCAATTCTCTTGCATGGAGAGACAAGGAACAGCAAGCCCCCCTCAAGTACTGGATGACGTTCCCTCCGCACAGTTATTTAATTTGCTGATACGTACCAAAGACCAGTTATTTATTATTGGGAAAAGATGCCTGCGACTTATCTTCCTCTTTTGCATAGCCAAAGAAACAAACCTCCCATCTGTCTGATCCTCTTACCTGACTACTCTCATTGCATCCCGTTCACTTTCAAGGCTGAAATATGACCATGCCCCAGGATTGATGCATTTTGGAGACACTATGTCAGCGATGAAGCGCAGGGTTGGGAGGATTATATTCTAGCCCACACTGACCTGGGTAAAGAATTCTTGTACCCCCCTCTCAGAAGATCTACACGCTTCAAAAAGGATCCTGTTGATGTTGATTAATTTTTGAATTACTGTCCTCCATACCTTCCTCTGATTTCCTGCTTGTGTCCCTTTTAAAATCCAAACTACGCTTGTTTATTCCCACACTCTTTTGAAAATTTAAATTTGGCCTCATTAGAATATTATAGAACTTTGTGTCTTTTTTCCATTGAGAAATTCAAGTTTGGAAGGTTGAATAACCACTGGGAACTTTCCACCGTGCTTGCATCAATAAAATGAGTGGGAGCCAAACTTAAAAGGCAAAGAACTCCTTTTTAAGCAAAATAAATGTTACCATTCAATTCTACACCTTTAAAAGTGTAGGAAACAAATTTACAAAGTCAAGAAAGAATTAAAAACAAGCCGGTAACAATTAATAGGAAAAATGAGCGGGAAAAAAAATTACAAGGCATACAATTCATTTTTATGCAATATAATTATTACCATTGAATTCTACACCTTTCAAAGTGTAGGAATCAAATTTACAATATCAAAAAATAATGAAAAACAAGCCAGTAACAGTTAATTGTACATATGAGTGAGCAGAAAAAAAAAATAAGTCATTTTTATGGTAAATGGACTTTACCATTAAATTCTACACCCTTCAAAGTGTAGGAAAATTTTTTAAAAATTCAAAAAAACTCAAAAAATAAGCGGTAAAAAATTAATTACAAAACCGTGTTTAAATGCGGAAACCGTGTGTGCTGTGCCGCAGCAAAACCACGGGTAAACACGCAAAACCCGTGTTTTTTTATTAAGGCCCTTTTTCTAATTTTTCCAGTTTTTTTACTTTTTTTTTCAGATTTTTTCAGATTTTTTCAACTTTATAGATGTCTCTTAGTAATAAAATCTGGAAAAATCTAAAAAAATTAGAAAAGTCTAGGAAATCTAGAAAAATGTAAAAAAATCTGAAAAAATCTAAAGAATCTGGAAAATCCAAAAAATTTATAAAAATCTAAAAATTAATCTGTAAAAATCTTTATTTTTTTTACAGGATTTCCCTAAAATTTACAAGATTTCCCATCTGGGAAATCATGTCAGGGATGATGTGAAAGTGACTTTTTCTTGAAGAACATTGGAGGACTTGCTGTCGGTTCTGCGGGCCCCGCAGAAATTAATTTCCAACCCAAAACTTTAATATTCTAAATTTGCACTTCCGTCGTCCACTATTTGTAAATATACACCACCCCAATCTACACCTACATACTTGGCAAGCTTCCATCCACATCACCCAACCCGCACGCTCTCCCAACTCCGACAATCCTCAGTCCTCAATCCGGTAATTGTCACACAATGACAATTCTCCTCCACATCACCCAACCCTCACACTTTCCCAACTCCAATAATCCTCAGTCTTCAAACCGGTAATCGTCACACAACGACAATTCTCCTCTCCCGCAGTGAGTTGTGTTGCTCTGTTTTTATCTATCTCTTGCCGTCATGATATAACATGCTTGATAATTAATTTATTTAATCAGTGTAGATAGCATCCTTTGTCGACCATGGTTAATTTTGAGTGATTACTAGTACAGGTTTTGGAGCAGCAACAGCAGTGGCAGATGATCAACCAATATCATCAAACCGAGGACGCAGCAATTCGACGCACGCTCAAGTCGTCCTACGCCCAGAATCAGGCCATCCAACACCAGGAAGACAAGGAAGCCCTGCTCCTGATGTGGGCCCTTGCTTTTCTTGGTACTCCGGGCCAGTTCCGACAATTGCGAACCTACCTAACACAAGCGGATCTGCCTGGTGTTCCGATGGCACACAGCGCTTGGGCATTCTTGTGGAAGTCTCGGAGCGACCGGGCCTAGATGTCCAAACTTTTGATGACCTACTTGAGCGTTTTTTGGCCAGGTGGAACTATTTGACAATTGACCGCGCTGACGTTAACCCCTTTGGCAAACCTCAAGTAGCTCGACAATCTCTAGACGCTGCAGGGACACTTGGATTAGTGCTGCACTGGATATGTTTGACGATGTTGAGTTACACCTTGCAGCACCTTTTTGGTGTAACCCCGGCAGTCTGTTCTCGCTACTTGGCGTCTGGCATGCATCATCTCCTGGCGGTACTCCGAGAACACCCGCTGGCAAAATTTGATGGCCAACAACAGAACGACGGGCACAAGTATACAGCGCACCGATTGAGCAGAAGTACCCATTGTTAACTCGGTGTTTTAATGGATTGTTGGATGGGCTCGACTTGCCAGTCCTGTTTTCTGATGACAATGAGTAAGTTTGCCAACGGAAATCTTCTTGATAAATTCATGTTGTTTGCTATACTGATGTCTATCAGATCATTGCATTCAAAACGCATATTACAATGGCTGGACTTGTGCACACTACTGCAGCTGTATCCTGGCCTTCGCACCCGATGGAACAATCATCATGTACTCAATTCTTAATGCGCCGGGGTCGTGGCACGATGCTACAATTGCGGAGCCGCTTTACAAGCAGCTCCTTGATCGGACCCCGCCAGGATATCAAATTATTAGCAACACCGCCTTCCCTCGGAAGTCCGAGAGGATTCAGGCTTGCATACTCGCCCCTGCTAGCAAGAGGGGTGATCGATTACCTCACGAGTCGGTTGAATTTGCCCGGCTCCAGTTGCTGAATGAGCAACTTGTTTTGGCACAACAGGCGGCCGAGTGGGGGATGTGATCTATCCAAGGGTCGTTTGCCCACTTGAAGATGCCGTTACCCGCGGGCGATCATCAATATCGGGCCGATCTCCTCCAGATAGAGATCGTTCGTTGGTACTTTTTGCAGGTACCTGGTACCTACTGGTAGGTACCCCTCGCACCCGCCCCGCACCCGCCAGGAGGTGCCGGGTGCGGTGCCGGGTGCCGGTTTTTTGGGCAAAAATGTGGAGGTACCCGGGTACCGCTACAGGTACCTTCTGATGTCTTAAAAACATAGGGGGGTGGGGCTGCACAGGGGTTGCAGGGGCTTGACTTCTGCCCAGGACCAAGCCCCGCCCATCTCCACCTCATTCGGCGGGTAGGTACCACTACCACCGCATAGATAACCGGACCGACCGACGGACGGTCACCATCGACTATCGAAGACAAACCCCTCATCACCAATCGATCGACCTACAAACGGTAAGCCCCCCCTTTTTTTCTTCCCTGCCACCACCTTTGTTCACTATTTTTCCCCCTCTACTTTTTTATCATTTGAGCAGCGGGCTGATGTGCCTGCTTGTTTGCTCTTCACAGCCATACACAGCTTCATCGCTTGTGATCGAAACCCGCCAAAGCGAAGAATCTACAAGCGCTAGCGAAGCGAGACACGTCGAAGGATGTCCGACATACTTCGCCGCCGTGTCCGAGTGAAGTCTGTCGCTTCTCGCTCGTCGTCGCGGTCATACAATCCCCAAGAAGGAGAGGGAGAGAGCCAGGAGACACCAAGCACCCAGCCCCCATCTGCAAGTGAACAAGCCCCAACTGACCAGGAGGAGCTATGTAAGATCTCACTCTCTGGTCATTTATTCCTGCCTGTCTGTATTTTTTTTAAATTTTTCATTCAGGCTGATGTAATGTATGGTTTTTTTTTTGCTTTTCACTAAAGTGAGAGCCCAGAGGGTAGCTCAATCTTCTGCCAGCTCAACTTATACTAGGGGGTATCAAATATAACCAAATCCACCATTATTTAATTGACTGGTTTCAAAAAATTCACTTTTTTTGAACATGTTGGTTATTCATTTAACCCCTTTTGGGGCCCTTTGATGCAAAAAAAAGTTTTCAGAAAAGTGACTGGTTTCTAATGGTGGATTTCCTATATTTGATACCCCCTACTTCATACATTTGGACGACGATGAAGATGAAAATTCTTTCAATTAGTTATAAGTTGTAAATAGTTTAACAATAATTATGAAAAAAATAGAAAAGTAATATTCCTGCAAGACTGCAAGTAAGAAAAAAAATAGAAAAGTAAGATTCTTCCAATTAGATGTACAACGGATATGAAAGAATGCCAAAAAAGTGACTTATGAGTGATATTTTACAATAAATATGAAAATAAATAATAATAATAAAGTGACTTGGGACTCTGGGAGTGAAACTAAGTGGAAAAGAGAGGGGAGGTACCTGAGGTACCTGCAACTGGTACCCTAGGTACCCCCCGGGAGGTGTCTGGTGTGGTACTAGGTATCTATTTTCTTGAAAAAAATGAACAGGTACCTAGGTACCAACAGGTACCCAGGTCCGAACGAACGATCTCTACCTCCAGATGGCCTGCCAGTTGCACCAACTCCAATGCAGATCTGTCGGCATTAATCATACTGGCACTGTCTACCAAGCGGTTTGGGACAAGAACCTCATCCTCTGTCGTGACTTCCATCGGATGTTATTTGCGGACATCCAAGGTCCATGTCATATCTCTTGATACTACGATGGGTGGCTATAGCTATAAATCCCACTGCCATTGATTGTAGTTTCGAGAGCGTACAATGGAGGTGATTTTCTTTTCTCAGCATATCTACAATTCTTTTTTTCTCTCCTTATCCGTAGTCTCAAGATCATCTGTCCTAATACGTAGCCTCAATACGTAGTCTCGAGATCATCCTTGGTTTGTTATTGATCATTCTATCTAGTACTCACTTCCCTCTCGTTATCTCATTTCATTTGTTTCCCAATCGGGCTTCTTAGATGTGATGGCTCACTTGGAATTTCAATGAGGTATTGGTATATCTAAACCACTATCTAAACCGCTCATTCAAGTGTGAATGTGCATGATGAGAATGAGATGAGAGCTTGAAAGAGGCCGAAGTGAGGCCGAAGTTGCATTAGAGAGCCCGAGCCCAAGGATGATCAGACTCAAGATCATGATGGCTGAGGCCAAAGTTGCAATAGAGAGCCCGATCCCAATGATGATCAGACTCAAGATGATGATGGCTGAGGAGTGATTCATTTCTTGAGTCATATATATAAAAAATCGCCTGTCTCTGATGGTCAAAGAAGACTTATAAAAACTACACATGATCAGAAGGCAACTCACAACAAGCCATGCACGGAGAAAGTAATTATAACAAACTTTGAAGAGGAAAAAGATATAGATATAGAGATTGATCGAGCTTCTTTCAAATGAGCGAGCAAAAACATCAAACAACAGAAGACTAGCATATGATATGATAGCTATAGAGACCAAGCATCCACCACTGTTGACCTCCCACATCTAAGAGGTTTGATTAGTGTTTGAATGCACGTACACCGGCGCGTGCATCATACTTTGCAAGCCATACCCATTGGCTTGCGCGTGGTGCATCTCCATCCGGAGTTGCATCAGATCAATCCGGTGCCGCAAATCCTGGTTCTTGGAGGTCTTCGATGCGAGGTCGAGTTGGGTTTGTTCCAGATCCTCCTGCAATCAAATAATCTGAATGTTCACCCCCTCACATAGCCGGTTGGCTTCGTCTTGCAAGCGCACAATCGTTGAATTTGCCTCTTGAAGCCGCACCGCGTAGAATTGAGACATACTAGACTCCTGTTCGCGGGCCGCACGCGCCTCGTGGTTGAAAAATGTTGCGAGAGTTGTATGCAGGGCCGCTTGGGGCTGTCCAGCCTTGGCACAAAGTGCAGCAGCTGTTCCCTGAGTAGCAGCAGGCGTTGGAGCAGTAGCCAACGAAGGCGCAGTCGCAGTCGCCGGCGCGGTGTTAGTCGAGCGAGCACTTGAAGTCAATGTTGCTGCCTGGTGTTTGTTGTCCACCCGATTAGTCATATTTGCGGACGGCCTTGTCGTTGCCCCGGCCGAGGTCGTGCCCGGGTTGACGGAGGTTGAGCCCAGGTTGGCCATGGTAGACAGGTGCCCCGAAGATTGGGAAAACTTGGCGTACTCAGCGAGCGAGTCGTTGTTAGATTTGTCCGGATGGTCTAGGGGGTGTGATTGTGTGGCACTCCAACCAGACAGGAGGGTCCCTTGCGTCTGTGAGGTTGGCTGCGAGCCTGGGTCACCTTGCGAAAGGGGAATTGGATCCCCAACCCCATTACTGAGTAAAGGAAATCTAAGTGTCAGCAGGCGATAGCAACACAATGGAGGAGGCAGCCCAATGAAAAATGAAAAAATACATACCATTCATCATTGCTTTGCATTTCCTAATTGTCCTCATCCACAAATGCGATGCTATGCGCACGGTCCTTGATCATAATATTGGCCCGTTTGGCCTCGCAAATCCAAACCGGTGTGGAAAGTAAGGCATGCCCTAGGAGATTTCTTGCACTTCTGCGCTCCGCAACACGTCCTACTCCGGTTTTGTTGTCCGGGGTAACTTGCTTGATGGTCTTGTAGGTAGGTAAAGTAAATATTCTTTTATTGGATTTTGATAGGTAATACTCTAACTCTTAATATCTAACAATTCTTTAGGCTAATACACGATTCACTCCTAAGTCACTCTGTTTTTCTGATATGTTCTGAGTCATAAGTTCCCCCTCTCCCCTTTCTCTTCCGCTCTGAACTCCACTCTTCCCAATTATCCCACACTCAAGTTTCCTCCTGCTTCCCACAATGTCCTCCGCTGTCACTCCCTCGGACTCCGCTTGTCACCCCTCTGACGCCTGTCAGTCCAGGTACTCCTCCGGCCGCTCCTGGACAGGTCTCTCACCACCGCTTCCCCCTCTGGCTCGCTCCGAACCCCGCTTCCGCCCCTCGGTGCCCCCGCTCCTTGTAGCCCCTCCACAGTATACGCTGAAACCCCCATTCCGCAGTCGGCCGTGAAATCCGGCGTCCGCCAGTGCCTGGATTCCCCGCAGCAAGCTTTTCGGAACCTTGCGCATTCGGCCTGCTTTTCCCCGCTTTCCCGCGCCTCAGAAAGCTAGACTTTCCACTAATGCACCACCGCTTTCCTCAGCTTGCGTGTGTAGCGTCAGCTCCGCCTGCTTTCCGCATCAGCCGCGAGCATTCCACATGCACCCAAACAAACCGGCCAAAGCTTTGGTCAAGATGCGCTCTTGCCACCACACCTGGCAATCCGGATCACCCGTGGGCTTTTTGGACGCCACCAGCGCCCTAAACTTTGTCTTCAATGGATTCGCATCGTGGGGGGGACGTCCAGCCTCCGCAGCATATTGATTGTAGAGCTCATGAACATGCTCCCAATCATTGCTGCCCAAAGGGCGGACGTGCTTGACAAAATTGACTAAAGCGAGACAATTGTTCCCGCTATACCCCTGCGAGCCCTGTTGACGACCGGTTTGGCGGGTGGAAGTCGGGTGTGTGATGTTGGTCGCAGTGGCTTCTGACCTCTGGGTGGCTTGTTGGGTGAGTTGAGTAGTACTGGCAATTTGAGGCATTTTTGGAAGTGGAAGATAAATTTGAAGCAATATCCAACAGTACTGAAGGAGATGTCGTTGAATTGAAAAGCAAGAATTATCCGATGGCAATGAAGAAGGATGAAGCTGGTATGGCCAAGGAGGAGGGTCAAGCCGGTTATAAATCTGCCGGTCATTTGGCATTTTGAATTTACTAGGATGCTGATCTGAGTGGGAGGGATGATTGGTAGGTGTCGGAAGGGTGATCGGTGATCGGTTGGTGTTGGTAATTTGAACAGTAGGTGTTGGATGGTCGATGTGGTGTGCGTATGTATGAGCGGATCCTCTCTGATCCAGATGAGGATCTGCAAAGACGATGGTACCCCTCGGGTAAATTTAGAGGGGTGATTTTTACAATTTTGGGGTCTAAATGGACATCTGCGGGGCCCGCAGAACCGACGGGAAGTCCTCCATCTACATATAACTAAAAAAATGGCCTCAGAGGGCCAAACAAACCCAGTTCATTTCTAACGCCGGCGTCGGTTTTTATTCATTTTGTGACACTTTTCTCATGCGGCTTCTAACGCCGGCGTCAATGTTAGGAAACAAACTCAATATGTATGCCAGCAAAGCGACCGCTTTGGAGGAGACACACGTCCGCTTGAGCTGGAGACACCAAAGCGACTGCTTGAGCGACCGCTTTGGAGGAGACACCAAAGCGACCGCTTGAGCGACCGCTTTGGAGGAGACACCAAAGCGACTGCTTTGGAGAGAGACAGCAAAGCAACTGCTTTGGAGACACCAAAGTGACCGCTTTGGAGCACCGCTTTGCTTTAGAGCCATACTATGGCAATAATCATTTTTCATAGGAAACCATGCAAACTGCTTGGGTTACCCATGTTGCTAATCAATTTTGTTGCTTCCAGCAACTCATATAAGTCACATAAATAACCATAGCAAATCCAGCAACTCATAAGTAACCATACCAAACTGCTTTGGTTGCTGGATTACCAAACTGCTTTGGTTGCTGGAATCACAAACTGCTTTGGTTACTTCCAGAACTTTCACCGGACATAAATATCCCAGCTCTTGATGATTAATCTTCTGCAATTTTTCATGCTCAATATTTCCTCCCATCAAACATTAATTCTTACTATACTATCCCCCAAAGCATTCACACTTTTTTATCTGCTACATACCATTATTTGCAGTATTGGTCTGTTCTACTTAATCAGTACTCTGTAATGGACTGGAGTGTTGATGAACTCAGGAGTGCGTTTAACAGGGAAAGAAATGCTAGATTCTATCAAAGGCAAAGACAGGCCCGTCTCAATGTTACCGCAACACCAAACCCCAATCACTTCCATTATCCATCCACTCTCCTACCGTCATCATATTTTAACTACCCTCATGTCCCACCAACTCATCTCCATCTTCATCAAAGCACTACAATGGGGTTAGATTCACTCAGGGGGGCCACATCCATTCAACCTCAATATCATCAGATGCAACATGGACAACCCTCTCATCTTCACCATCTGTACAATGAACCACAAAACTACAACAATGCTCTCTACCAACGAAATTCACCATCCAGAAATCATCATGAATCATGCAACAACCCACAACATGTCACACCATTTCACAACAACTCACACATCAATCATCGCAGAACCTATTATGGCAACACACTTGCCCAATATCAATCAACATCCCCGTGAAACCACAGATCCCAGACATCAGCCACAAAGCCGTGACAGATTGCTTGCAAACTATCATTCACCAACTCATCTCAACTCACATTCTAGACATCATCCAGACCCCCATGACGGCTCACTTTACTCACTTTCAAGGCATCACCAACAATCCCACGTCAACTCACAACATTGGGACAACTCACGGAGGCATTCTATGTCTCAGGTTACTGAAAGGATGTCTCAGAACACCATAAATGTGGCCCATACCACTCGCAACAATATTATTCCACTTGATCAACAAAATAATACATCCAGGGTTTCAATTTTCAACTTGGTCAATTCCCAAAATCTTTCACCCCACAATGCGGTCAATATTTACTCCAATTATCAAAATTCATCAAACCTTCCTCCCTTGGAGCAACCAAGAATCTTGGATGATCTTCCAGAAATTAATTTGGACCTTATTGAAAATCATGTTCATCACCGTTTATCTCAAGTTGGATTTGAAAATCCTGCTGGTGCTCTTTTGAATGATGAACCTGGAATTGATTTGAATCAAAATGGACAGTTTGCACAAAACAATATTGCTGGGCAAAATCCCCGCAGAAATTTCAACAGGCCACTTGCATGGGGTTGGAGAGAACCTCCAGGTTTCAGACCTTACACTTTGAGAAGAGAGAGGTGTTGTCAAATATTTCATGCCATACTTTTCCAAGGCGAGACAAATTCCCTCTGCTGCCACTCTGGTAGGATCAACATACATCAACCACCCCCTCCCCCAGATTTACTCCAGATGTTCAAAGATGCAACTCGAGACCGCTCAGCTCAAGGAAATCAACTGATAAGATCAATCCGTTTGATAAATAGCAACTTTGCATTTACTTCTCTTGGTATAAATTCTGCCACCAGAGCTGCTTTGAACAACCAAGGGCAAGGTATATACACTTTCAAGGTCAAGGGGACAATTCACCATAACATTGGAAGTTTGATCCCAATGTCACAAGAAGTTCCCAAATTCTTGCAGCTCTACATATATGATAATGAAAACGAGTTTGAAAATCGTCAACATCACGGACGAGATCTGATCCCAGAACTCATGGGAAGAATCCAAGAAATACTTCACCGCTCTAATCCTCTGATACGCCAGTTTGAACGGGTTGCCTCTGAGATCAGTCCAAACCGCTCCATAAGGCTCACAAATAATGCATCAAATGTGGACCAAAGGGTTTACAACCTTCCCACAGGTGACCAAATTGCAGCCATATGGGTAGAAGGTATTTGATTTACTTGGAAATTTTGCATTTTTTTTGAATAATTCTGACATTTCTTTCCTTCAAGGTAATGACCCATCAACAACAGACACAAGGGATGTCATCATCAAGTACCGACATCAGAACCTCTCAAGAATATCTGAATTGGACAGAAAATATGACCCACTCCATTATGTTCTGTTGCATCCAAATGGAGAACTTGGCTGGAGTCCTGAACTCAAGGAAGAAATGCCAAATGCAACTGCCATGAACTATTATGCTTATCAGTTGGCCTTCCGCAATGAAGACTATTCTCTCTTACATTGATCTGGCCGACTCTTCCAACAATACTGCGTGGACCAATATGTGAAGATAGAAACTGAGAGGTTGCTGTATATTAGGCTCAACCAATCAGATTTCCGTGTGGACCAATTTTATGGTGTTGTAGACGCTTATCAAAATGGTGCAGAAATGGGAAATGAAACAGGTATAATTTCTCCCCAATAATATTGAAAATAAATGGTGAAATCATATTCTCATCCTTTTGCTTTTTTCTTTATCAGGTTGGAGAGTTGTGCTACCCACATCTTTTATTGGTGGCCCACGTGACATGAAAGCAAGGTTCCAAGATGCAATGGCTTTGGTCCAGACTATGGGAAAACCAAACCTTTTCATAACAGTCACTTGCAACCCTGATTGGATTGAAATACAAAGAAACCTTCTTCCTGGACAGTCAGCACAAGACCAACCAGATGTTGTAGCACGTGTATTCAACTCAAGGGTGAAAAAAATTTGTGATCAGATTTTCAAAGAAGGAATTTTTGGGAAAACTAAGGGCCGCACACATGTGATAGAATTTCAGAAGAGGGGCCTGCCTCATGCCCACATCTTAGTCATTCTGGAATCAGAATACATACCTCGGACAACTGAAGACATTGATCAAATTGTTTCTGCAGAAATTCCAGATCAGTTTGAAGATCCAGCACTTTACCAAGCAGTATCAAGACATATGATTCATGGGCCCTGTGGACCTTACAACCCAGATGCACCATGCATGGTCAACGGTGTTTGCTCAAAGAAATTCCCAAAAGAGTTTAGTCCTGAAACTGTAATTAATGAATACTCTTACCCACTATATAGGAGAAGGTCAAATGGTAATACAATCCAGAGAGGTCACAACAACTTCATTATTGACAACCGTTGGGTGGTGCCTTACAATGCTTACCTCTCAGCAACATATCAATGCCACATAAATGTAGAAATTTGTGCAGAAATATCTGCAGTCAAATACCTCTACAAATATGTATACAAGGGCCACGATAAAGTTGTTCTAGATGTTGGGGAAACCATTGATGAGGTTAATAGATTCAGGGACTCACACTGGGTGGCCGCTCCCGAGGCATGTTGGAGGATATTCTCTTTCAAACTATCTGCCACTTATCCATCAGTGAACAGATTAGACATTCATTTGCCAAATCAACATCGAGTAACATTCCCTCAAGATGAACCATTTCAAGATGTTATTGAAAGGGCTGCTGAAGTCAACACAATGCTCACCGGTTACTTTGCAAGAAATAGGATTGATCCACAAGCCAGATTGTTGAAATATGCTGATTTCCCCAGGTATTACACATGGCATGCCCAGTGGTGGGCCGCTATGCTTTTGGCCCAAAAAGCGTAGCGTAGCGGCGCTTTTTTTTTCACCAAAAACCGTAGTGTTAGCGGTTTTTTAGCGGTTTTTTGCTACGCTACGCTGCACTACAGCGCTTTTAGCGGAAAAAACAGCCAAAAACCGCTAAAAACGGCTGTAGCGCAGCGTAGTGGGCCCTTTTTTGCGGCCCACACGCGTAGCGTTAGCGGTGTCGTGGCGGAATTCCGCTACGCTACGCTAATTGCTAACAGCGATTCCGCTGCGTTACGCTACACTAACCGCTACGGTTAGTGTAGCGGCCCACTGATGGCATGCCAGTACAAAAGAATGGAAGCCCAGGCAAAGGGGAAGCTCAATTGGAAGGATTTATTCGGTATTTCCATCAGACCCAGAGAGATGGTATTTATGGTTGTTGTTAAATCATGTCTGTGGAGCTACTTCTTTTGAAGATATGAGAACCTTCCAGGGTACTATCTACGAAAGTTTCCGTTCAGCTGCGTTGGCTCGGGGTCTCTTGGAAAATGATCATTATTTGGAAGAAACAATGGCAGAAGCAGATTCTTCAATGTCACCATCTTATTTGCGGAGACTATTTGGCATACTATTAGCGACATGTCAACCTTCAAATCCTCTCCGCTTATGGAATGCTTCTTACAATTACATGACAGATGATTGGATCCATCAAGGTTGCCAAGATGATGCACTGATGACAAATCAAATCCTTGAAGTAATCAATCCAATCCTTCTCCAGAATGGTCTACAACGCGTCGATTTATCATTTCCTGATCTACCAAGATATGATCCTTCAGTAGGAAGGAACCAGCACATCAGAAATTGGATGTTGGATGAAGAAAGATCAAGCTTCAATGTGGATCCAGCTCAAATTGATAATGTCAATCAACTTAACCATCAGCAGAGGTCCGCCTTTAATCAAATTATCCATGCCTGTAATTCTGAACAACCAGCATGCTTCTTTATTGATGGGCCCGGTGGCTCTGGAAAAACATTCTTATATAATTGCTTACTTGCCAATGTAAGATCAACCCACAGGATTGCTATTGCATGTGCTGGTAGTGGTATGTTAATTCAATTTCATGATCAGTTGATTAACATATACTTAACCTGATTTTCTCTTCTGTCTCATAGGAATTGCCGCTATGAACATGCCATGCGGGAGAACGGCTCACCTAACTTTTGGAATTCCTCCCAAGCTACTGCATAATTCAGTTTCTTCTATTGCCAAACACTCACAAAAGGCAGATGTTCTCAAGCATTCAAAGTTGATCATATGGGATGAAGCCCCAATGACACACAGGCATGCACTTGAATTGGTCAATAGATTGCTTCAAGACTTGATGGATTCAGGTCTACCCTTTGGTGGCAAGGTAATGGTCCTAGGTGGAGATTTTCGTCAGGTTTTACCTGTTGTCAGGAAGGGTTCCCGCCCTCAGATTGTTAATTCCAGCATAGTCAATTCTCACTGCTGGAGATATTTTGAACGGAACATAATTCAGCTGTCCATCAACATGCGTGCCGCTGGGGATCCTCATTTTCAGCAATTTTTATTGTCTGTTGGGAATGGAGAAGGCGCCACTAATATTTCAACCAAAATACAGCTGCCAGCCTCAATGGTCATTCATGGTGGATCCCAGGAGCAAAACTTGGATCATCTCATCTCTCAAATATTCCCAAATATAACCAGGTCCTTCTTGCATCCTGAATACTTTCTGGACCGGGCTATTCTTTGCTGCAAGAATATTTCAGTAAACCAAATAAATGCTAGGATCTTGCAAACCATTCCATCAGAAGGCAGGACTTACACAAGCTACGATTCAGTTGAAGATGACCCCCAAAACCTATACTTGCAGGAATATATCAATAGTTTAACTATTTCAGGCTTTCCTCCTCATATTCTGGAATTGAAAAGGGGGGTCCCAATCATAATGCTGAGGAACCTTGATCGGACAATGGGACTTTGTAATGGAACCAGATTGATTGTAGAAAATTTGGGCCCAAATGTCATTTATGCAAAGGTGATATCAGGAAACAGAGTCAACAATTTGGTAGCCATACCTCACATTCCTTTCATATCAGACCCTGATGAATCTGGATTGCCTTTCAAGCTCATGCGCAAACAGTTCCCCATAAATCTTGCTTTCTCACTGACAATCAACAAATCTCAAGGTCAGACAATTGGAAATGTGGGAATTGTACTTCATGATCCTGTCTTTAGTCATGGACAGCTCTATGTTGCATTGTCACGAAGTAAGTCCAGCCATACTACAAAGGTAGTAGTTCCTCAACCTGAAAATGGGCCTCCTTCATATGAAACATCAAATATTGTTTACAAAGAAGTTCTGTCACGTGTCCATGGGCCATGATAATATTCATGTGCTCTTACGTATATAACCATTCTTTTTACTGTTGTCTTTCACGTTTTCTTATATCACTTCTTAATTTCTTCTTTCTTTCTTTGACTTAATTTTTAGTTTTGTTCCATAAATTGTTGTATATAGGCATTCTTTTCCCTTTGTATATAATCATTCTTTTCACTGTTAGATATCCTATATTCTTAGATCAGTTCTCAATTTTTTCTCCTTTATTTCTTTTGTTCCATACATTGAATTTTCATCCCTGTTTTTGCCTTTTTCAATTTACTCAAACCCTTTCCTTGAGAATCTCCACAATGCTTAATAATGACATTTATCCCCTTTGAATCTTGAAAAATACCCTTTTTTCTATAAATCCCCCCTCAAACCCCAAAAATGGGGGCTATGCCCTTGTTAATCATTAAAAATAAACAGCAAATAGAATTAAACTGATCAAGCTTGCCTTCTGACATTCAGTATATTATCACACAGACTTGACAAGCTTTTCTATCTTTTTGTTCTTAATCAAACAACATTGGACGACTTCCCGTCAAATCTGCGAGTCTCCCAGAAGCGATTTAGAGGCCTTGAAAGCTAGATTTCCCAGCAAAATTCTAGACTTTTTGGGTCTAAATCGACATCTGCAAGGGTCCCAGATCCGACGGGAAGTCCTCCATTATCCTTGCAGACTTTTATTCTGCCTTTAGGTAATAGGGGGGTTCACGATAGCTTTTCACCAGAAAAGTTTTATTGTCCCACCAGAACGGTTTCGCATGCTGCGCAGATTAAAATTTTAGACAATCTTTAACACACCAGAAGTGATCCACCAGTAAAATTTAGTAATGGAAACGAACTGGTGAACACATCCCTTCGGTTGGTTCCACATCCTCTTGCCTGTTCCATCCACACTGGTAATCCGGTAATCCTCACTGGAACAACATACCCCTCATCAATCACTCCCCTGATGACCAATCAGAACACCGATGGGAGTACACACCCCCATCAACGGTGCCACAGATACGAGACGAGTATCGGTATTCGGGGGTATCTGGATTTGATACCCCCCGATATCTTGGATTGGTATCGAATGAGGATCCCGACTGAATACATCGTATTCAAAGTCCGGGATTCCAGAGGCCGATGCGAGACAGGTGTATTTCCTGTCCTGGATTCTGAATATCAATACCATCAATCCGGTATTGTGATACCAATCCACATATCGAGGTAAGTCCATCAACCCCCCCATAGAACCTGAGACAAGAAAAACTGAATCACCAAACAATCTTCTCAAATGCTCATCTGTAGTCGTTCACTGCATTGGTTGGCCAACTTCATCGGCAGCTTGGCATCCTGAGGTAAGATTTTCTCTCTTTCTTTCTTTCATTCTTCTTCTTCCCATCCTATCAACGAGGCCTTGGCGAAGATCAAGACCCACACCAATCAGAACTCGAAGGAGGCAAGCAGATGGCAACCAAGCACCAAACCCACCATCTGGCGGTACCGGACTACGCTACTTTGAGACAATCGTCGGCCCAAAGGGATCCGGCTTGGGGGCTGGGATGAGAGTCTCTGGAAGGAAATCCATCAGAACATCCAGACAACCCTCCACACTGATAACCGACCTCAATCCAATCACCTCAACCCCTCCCACTCAACCACCACAGCCAGCAACATCCCAAAACAACAACAACCAAACACCACTGGATCGAGCTCATCACCAAACCACTCAGAATCTTGACGGCAATCCTGCCGCAGGTGCGCTGGCACTCACCGAAGGTCGAACGAGTGTGATCCCCGGAGGTGGACTGAATCCTGAAGATAGTGATGAAGAACCAAACCCAGCCTCCTGTCCCTCACAACTCTCAAACCAAGACGAATCTCAGGATAGAAGACCGATCTCCCGTAACCCTACCAACACCACCATCAAGACCCACCGTCGTCAAATCTCAGCCATCACCTTTGCAAGTAACCCACTCGGTTTTGCCAGTCCACCCGGCTCAATCCTCAACCTCAGTCGTAGTCGAACACGCGCCCAACGGGGACACTCCATCAGCTCGATCGCGACCACCAATACCAATGACCCTGATAAACGAATGTCGGACATGCTATTTACTTACAGGCCCTTTGACGCCAGAAGATCAACTCAGATCGTCGGAAGAGTCAAATTAGAACCGGCACCATTGCTCGAAGCAGACAATGAAGATGATACGGGTGATGAAGATATTGAGACCGATCAAACCGATACCGGTACCGAACTAGGAGAGGATGATAGTAGCTTCAACCTGGAGGAAATCGGTGAAGATTCTGGGACGATGGATGATAATCTGAGCATCAAGAGTCGAAGAAGGAGGCCGAAACGCGACCTGAGTTCGATCGGAACCAGCTCGATCGATTTGATGACCCCTGCAGACTCCCTGAACAAAAGCCTCTCGAGTGGCCTGGCCACCTCGATCGTCGAATCCAATCCGCTCAACCGAACTAATGGCCAATCTCCCGACGTACTCATATCTGTTCACGGTGTCGAACGTGGTGGAAACGGGAACCAATCTCCTCCGATGGTACGTCGCCGGGAGAGAAGAAGGGTGAACATCAAAATGGGCAAGCTAGTTGGACCTCCAATTATTGAAGAAGACTCAATCGGTCCATCGGTCGACTCGGATTCCCCACCCATCAAGGTCGTCGAACCACTAGCACCAGGCTTAAGACTTCAGAGAGGCACCTCATCAGTCGACAAACCGGGAAAACCGCCGTCGCTTTGGACACCATCCTCAACCAGAAACGATGGAATGACGGAACCGATGAGACCCAAAAGCTCTACTGTGTCTACGTCGCCGTTGGCCAAAAGAGATCGACCGTCGCCCAGATGGTTCAAACCTTGGAAGAGAACGATGCCTTGAAATACTCGATCATCGTCGCCGCCACTGCCTCCGAGGCAGCTCCTCTTCAATACTTGGCCCCCTTCTCTGGGTGCGCCATGGGTGAATGGTTCCGTGACAACGGCAAGCACGCCTTGATCATCTACGATGATTTGTCCAAGCAGGCTGTGGCCTATCGTCAGATGTCCTTGCTCCTTCGTCGTCCCCCTGGTCGTAAGGCTTACCCCGGAGATGTTTCGTATGTGGATTTGATCACTCTTGGCCATGCAACTTGACTGATTTGCTTCTTGTCTCAGTACCTCCACTCGCGTCTATTGGAACGAGCTGCCAAGATGAACGACAAATTGGGCGGTGGTTCATTGACTGCTCTCCCAATCATCGAGACCCAGGGAGGAGATGTATCAGCTTATATGTATGTTCAATCTTATCCACTAAGCTCCCATGATCGACACTTGGCTTACACGAGATTCTCGATCATCCAACCCTTCACAGCCCCACCAACGTCATCTCGATCACTGATGGCCAGATCTTCTTGGAAGCCGAATTGTTCTTCAAAGGTGTCCGACCTGCTATCAACGTTGGTTTGTCTGTCTCCCGTGTCGGATCTGCCGCCCAGACCAAAATCATGAAGAGTGTCTCGGGATCGCTCAAATTATATCTTGTGAGTTTAACAATCCAGTGTTCTCCTATGTGAACTTGTACTGAGTGGTTGCCAACAGGCCCAATACCGTGATGTCGCGGCATTTGCCCAATTCGGTTCCGATCTTGATGCTTCCACCCGTTACTTGCTCAGTCGTGGTGCCCGGTAAGCGCTTCTCGATTGCAAAATTTTTGTTTGATGCTCGTCTGACCAGAAGGTTTTACTTTTGAATCTCCAAGTCTTACCGAACTCCTAAAACAAGGTCAATACCAACCTTTGGCTTTCAAAGTCCAAGTCCCCATCCTCTACGCCGGTGTGAACGGTATGCTTGATGTAAGTCATCAAACTCTGGGACTCCTTGTTGTTGGGAAATGAGGAATTGACTGTGGGCAATTGATTTGTGTTTACAGAAAGTACCGGTCAAGAAGATTGTCAGCTGGGATCTCGCTTTCCGTGATCATCTCAAGAACGAGCAATCAGCTCTTCTTGCAATGTGTCAACTCCCTCACCCTCGTCCCAGCATCCTCATCAAAGCAGCTTCCTCATCCCTTGGCCTCTTCCTCTATTGCTTTGTCTCTTCCACCATCCACCCTCCTGCTTGCCTGTCCACCAAAACCAATGTGTTTATTCCTTTACTGACCTTGATTGGATTCTTTGAATCAGATTTTGCTACCAGTACCAGCATTCTTCTGGTACCAGAATCAATTACACTGATTGGATTTCATCACCAACATCAATCAGATTTCACTTGTTTAACCTCACACTATCATATCATCCTGCCTCATCTTCTACCACCACCCTCCACCCTGTCAGATTCTAGGCTCTGGCACGTCCTCTAATAAGAGGAGGAAAACTGTTAGAGTAACAGGTGAAATAGGTAAGCCATAACTTCATTAAGCCAATTCACATATGCAACTATAAGCAACCCCAACCAGTTAAGGTTCAAGCTGATATAATGTGTTTAACATGTATGCAGAAGCCAACTTGTCAGAGATTCAGCAACCCACTGAAACATTCACGTCAGGACAACCAACTGAGGTGATCAGGTAAGATTCTGATTTCTATAACATCTCCAGATAGTTAAAGACCAAGCAAACTAACATGAAATTATGACACTCTGTATAGTTACACACAAAAAGTTGAAACATCACGATTGAAACTCTTTGGCAGAATAACCAAGGTAGATCCCTTTTCTCTCTCACTCCACTCAGTTCTATTTTTCTTTCTTCTCATCCTACATGATACAGTGTTGTATATAGAAAAATACTTTCTCATGACAGAAATAAATCTCCTAGTTCTTTGAGTTCTTTCACACAAGAATGGCCCGATCATCTGTTTCCCCTCGTGGAACTCCCTCGCAAACACCGTCCCGTCAGTCTAGTCGAATCACAACTCCTTTGCGTTCTCATGGAAATTTTGTCAGATCCAACCGAGACTCTCGGCGATCTTTGCAACCACAGACTAGCAGGCAAATCCAAACTCCAAACCCCGAGAGTGAAACCGAGTCAGTTTCTCAGACTAAGAGCACCCAGCCATTACAAAAACAGTCACGCAAGCGACATCGGCCTCAAATATCGTCTTCGACTGACCAAAGTCATGCTAGTGCAGCCAAATCCAAGCAAAAGAAGAAGAAGAAGAAGAAAAATGTGGTTTGAACCAATAACGAGGATGATTCTGATCAAGTTGGAGGGGCGATTGACATCACTCAAGACTCAGACCACAACAACTCAAAGGTCAAGAAGGTATCAAAGAACGACAGTGAATTTGATAACATCCTTGCGTACTTTGAGCCCCCATACCACGCCAACGAAGGTGACACTGTAAATTATTTCTTGCTTTTCATGATCCTCTACCATTTTTTTCTTCTCATGACTAACATTGGCCTTTCTGATCTTGTTTTTAGGGAGACAAATCCACGCACAGATGCAAGTGGTGTTCAGCTCCTTACAAGAAAAGCAAGGGGACCAACTCAAACCTCACCAAGCACCGTGACGGCACCAAGGAGCGTCCTGCCTGCTCAGGACGATCAGACGCAATCGCTTTTGGGGCTAAGTTACCTCTGACAGCAATGGAAATCGAATTCAATAAGCAAAACCACGATGAAGATAAGATCCACAATTACGCTCAAAACACGGTGTTTGAAATGAGGGTCTTGAATCAACTCCTAGTGATGTGGTTAATCCGATACTCGTTACCTTGGAGCCGAATGCAAGACTTTCTCCTGCGTGTGGCTTTCAACTATGCTCGGCGAAATATCCTTATCTATGGTCGGTCTTGGGCGGCAAATGAGGCACATAACCTCTATCTCAATCTACAGAGCAAGGTTATTGCCAGCTTACATGTAAGTTCTTCCCTCTTCCCCCTCCCACCCCTGCAAACAGTTGACTGAAGCCTGACTCAAACATGCTGTTGACAGGCACTTGAATCAAAATTCACATTGATTCATGACGTCTGGACCACTAAAGGCAATCATCATGCTTTTCTTGGCATCTCAGTTGCTTATGTGACCAAGGATTGGTGTTTTAAGATTTCACATCTGGGAATGAAGTACATTGCCTCTAATCACCAAGGAAGGCTTTTGGCAATCCCATTTGCAAACATCCTGACAAAGGCCAAATTACAACATAAGATAAGTCTCTTTTCTTTCTTTCTGTGTTCAATGAGATAAACTAATCCGTCCACTTGTTTTCAATACATCTTAGCCCAGACAACTGATTCAGGATCCAACAATTTCACAATGGCTTCTGAGGTCGACCGACTTATTTCTAAGAAGACAGGAGTCAATCCAAACCTCTCGGCAAACCATATTCGATGCTTCTGCCACAAGATAGCTTTGATCCTCAATGCCGGACTGAAGGCTCTCCGACAGTCAACCGACGGATTGGTCGAATCAAGAGGCGACACCCTCGGCTTTGCCCCTGACTTAGAACCGATCATTGAAGAGTCAGAAGAACGCGAGGAACCAGATCAGTTTGTAGCAGAAGACGTGGCTTTAGAATTCCGTCCGCAGGGTCAAGCCGAAAGCAGAACTGGTTCTGATGGGTGTAATGGGGACGGTGATCTGGATTCCTCAGATATCCCTGATAATGGAGGAAGTAATATTGATACAGTCTTGAAAAAGGTATGTCTTTCCATAGTTAAACTGTTTATTGCCAAGAGCTCACCAGCAATTCTTCCACATAGGTTGATTTCATTATTCAAAGGATAACATCCTCTGCAGCCAAGCGTTCCGAGTACAAGACGTGGTGCACAAAACTCGACTTTAATGGGCTCAGCCTCATTGCTGGGTACGGTATTCGCTGGAACATTGTCTTCCAAAGTTGACATCGAGGATATCAGGCTCGGAAAATTATTGATAAACTAATTGAAAATGAAAATGATCGTCAAGAACAAGAGGGTGGGAAAAACTACTTTGACAGTGTGGAGGTTAGTCGAAGCGAGTGGGAGATGGTGAATAGATTGAATGACACACTCAGCGTGAGTCAATATAAAATGAGTCTTGAAATTCTTTCCTTCATGTGACAAAGACCTGATATGCCCTTCACAATATTTTCAGGAGTTTTATTTCCTTACAAAGAAGATGGAGGGTGACCACTCCTCAGGATGCTTACTCATTTCTGAATACCAGTACATCAAGGAATTCCTCACTGAAAAAATCGAATCCTCCTCAGAACCAGAATTCAAAAAAATGCTTGAGCAGATGCTAGCGAAAACAAACACCTATCTCAATGAGGCCTTGCGTTGTGATGTGATCCTGATTGCCACAGCACTCAATCCCAGCTTTCGCTTATCGATTTTCAAGTTTTCGTTTCCCAGCCACCACAATCACACTCAGAACCTCCTGGAGTCTCTTTTCAACACCAGGAAAGCCGAAATTTCTGTCCCAACCGAATCCGCCCCACCAGTAGCTGCCGACAAGTCTAAATCCATCAAACAAGCTCGAAAGCAAACTGACTACTTTCCTGACTCAGTCAAGGCTCCTGTTGCTGATGAGCTTGCTATCTACTTGGGGGGTAAGTATAAGTTGCCAAGTTCTGAAGCCGATCAGTGCTTGCAATGGTGGAAGGTAATCATATTTCATCATCAAAATTTGGAGATGAACATAACATTAACTTAATTTCTCTTAATAGGACCATGAAGAAGAGTTCCCAACCTTGGCCCTCCTTGCAAGGGACTACTTGGCTTGCTCAGCAACCTCTGCAAGTGTTGAGAGGTGTTTTTCGGCCGCAGCTGACACTTGTGGTCGCAATCGAGGAAGTCTTGAAGCAAGTACGATTGAACGTTGTGTAAGTTCTCATCAATGGATAGTCCAAGGATTTGAACCGGACGGAACTTTTGAGACTGCACAGGCTATCATCACCCAGGAAAATGAAGAGGAGGCCTTTCAAAAGGGGAAGAAAATCCCCATCACATGAAGTAGAAATGTTTTTTTTTCCTTTTTGCCCAAAAGATCCTCAAGGATCCATAGTTTTAGTTAAATCCTAGCCCAGAAATTAAACTGCATAAATAGCTATCAAAAAATAAAAAAAAAATCTGATACCGGAAATCCGGTATTCCTCCCGTATCAGTATCATCACATGATACCAATAAACACAAATACCATGTATTGCCCACTAGATACAATACATGGTATCGTATTTGGGACCAAATACAGTGCCCCGGGGCTCTTCTGTGCTACCCCCTCAGGGGGTGTTCCAAATTTCCAAAACAAGATTTTCATTTTTTTTTGGAATCTGCGGTTTAATTTCAAAAAAAAACTGGTTTTCTCTTGTTTTTTCCACAGGATTCTCACTTTTTTTCCCTATGGATGTTGTAGTTTCAATTTTTGATGTATTTTGTACAGCTTTTATTGCTCCAGATAACTGATCTGATGGCTTTTCTTTTTTATTTCTCATCTAATATGCACATAACCCCTGTATATATGCATACTACATCCTGAATAAATCCCTAGTGCATACCTAGAACTCCATATTGTGACACTCCTGGGTGGATGTTCCAAATCTGAAAAAAAAAAATTGAATTTTTTTTTATTGCAGCTACTGAGTTGTGGTTATAGATTTGGGTTCTACCACTTGTGTAGAGCCCAAAAACACACAGTACATGTATGTAGGCTCACTTGGGCGGACAAACATACCGGTCAAAGTTCAAAAATAATTTTGCAGGCGCGGGGTTACACAGAAGAGCCCCGGGGCACTGTACAAGAAGTGTCTCTCTCAAAATTGGTATCAGAAAAAAAATACGATACTCAGTATTGGTGATACATGTATCGTATCGTATCTGTGGCAGCGTTGCCCCCATCATGAAATGACCGGTCATCAGGGGAGTGTGTACTCCCATCCATGACCGGTTTGGACCGATCATGTCATGATGGGAGTGTGTACATACTCCCATCAATAGACCGTTCTGACCAGTCATGTCATGATGGAAGTGTGTACTCCCATCAATGACCGGTTCTGACTGGTTGTTGATGCAAGTACACATTTCCTTTGATGATCGGTCAGAACGGGTCATCGATAGGAGTGAGTAGTGGATGACCATCTATGGGAGTGAGTATTGGATGACCGATCAATACCGGTCATCAATGTTGATGTGTAGTGCACAAATGGTGGTAGTCAATACTTGTAATCAATGCTGGTGGTGTGTTGATTCAAGTTTTATGGTCAACATTTGAGGACCAGCAACACTTTATGGATGTTGGTCAGTGTTTTTGCTGATGTTTTTAGCTTAAAATTTAACAAAAAAATCACACCAGCAAGAAATTTTTTTAGGGGGGACCAGAAGCCAAAAAAGCTATCGTGAACCCCCCTAATAGAACATTCTTTGCTTATCTTTATTTAAACCTATGAAATTATCATTATTTTATTTTCTTTACAGCTATTTCGGGAAGTCTTGTCCACTTGGACTCGCGAAATCTTTTTTACAGCAGACCCATAAACCCTTGCGACTTTCCCCCCCCCCCCAAAAAAAATAGGTCGGTCAAAAAAATTTTCTGTGAGATTCTTCAATGCAGCTGTCAAGGAAGCTGCATTTCAATGGCTGCCCGTTTGACAGAATTTGCATCTCATTGAGAGATATTGAGCCTTCCTGCTTCATTCCTCCCCCTCCCCAAACCACCTCAAGAATGTGTTTGGACGATATCTTACACGACTCGCCGGAGGGCCATCAAACTTACTCGGGTATGAACTGGTTAGATAATGTATTGGAGGAGTCGCCTGAGCTCCATCACCTTGACCCTGAAACTGCAGCAGACGGCAGCTATAATGTCCGGGCCTCCGATGGCACCATTTGTCGGTACTTTCCCGTGGGTCCAAATAATCCAGTTGCCTACTGGACCAGACCCTCTTCAGTTCATCAAACGTATCCTAGACACGATCAAAGCAATCAATCGGAAGCAGCCCAGGTCAGGGCAGCCCAAGAGTTTAGGCATATGTACATGAATCCTGGCCGACCCTTTACGGCTTCTTCTACAACCGGGACAACGCCTGCCGAACCCTTTAGAGCTTCTACCAACAGGGCCACCCCTAGCCAACCCTTTACGACTTCTACGACTGGGACGACTCCAGGGCATCGGCTGGATCAGATTGCACCAACACCAAGACAAAACAGGACCCACTTGGATATTCGTTCAAATCAACCTACGGTTTGCTATGAGAATTTTGGGCAGCTGGGCCCGGAGGATGAGATTGAACTTCTTCGACCCACCGGAGATATTGCCTCAACATCAACTCGCCTCTCCAATCCCACTGACATTGATACCGAGCCTAAGAAAGTGGAACGGACCTTCTTGATCAAGTATCGTTTCCACCTACCCTGGTCAAATCCGTCTCCCTCGAAATCACACAAAAGGAAACCATCTGGAATCGAGATTCCTAAGACAAAACCAATAAACTCAGTGCCCGGTAAACTTTCAATTCGTTGGGATCTTGCCGACTACGATGTCCCAAAATTCAAGAATGCTGTCATCGCCGAAATCTTTGGTGAGGACAAGGACCTCGCCGCATTTGTCAAAAATCGTGAAGCCAACGAAAAGGACCTCACCTGGTATGGAATTATCCTCCATGATTCGAGATTCAAGGCTACCGGGAACCAACAGTTAGATAAACCGGGAGTGTTCCAGGACTGGCTTACTGCTTGTGTGCCTTTTGAGGAGACTCGAAAGCTGGTCTGTAAAGTTGAGCAATTGGATCCCAAAGCGGAGGCTGATGTTAGTACATATGATCATTCCAATTTATCTGTATTTAACTGATATCATTCTTTACAGCGTGAAATAGTATTGCGTTCTTTGAAACAGAAGATGAATCCGGTCCAAGAAGAGGAACCATTTGTCCCATCAACGGCGGCTAACGATCGAGCAATAATTAACGGACTCATTGGGCAGATACTTGCGACTCACTCGCCTTGCCCTCGATTATCAGGTAGCTCCGATAAGTCAATCTTCATTAATCCTGAACAAGGCGATCAGTACTTTGTTGTCACCATGGCCCGCGCCGACCTCTGGGCAAAGGCCATTGTAAGTTGCCTGAATCGGATTGACTATCCATTGATTTACTGGTTACTGACGCTTTTCATGCTACAGAATGCAACCCCTCAGGTCGTTGATCTGCGCACACCTCCAAAGACCCCTGCATTTGATTATAGAACCGGTTTTCTTGACAATCACGACCAACCTGCCAAACGAAACTTACCAGCTCCTGAGACTCGTCACCAATGTTGTTCTCATGAGACTCGTCACCAATGTTGTTCTCATAACAGCAGCGGGCCGTCAATTCACCATGTCAATGCAGGTCAATGCTCGGACCATGGGGCATTGACCCAGCAACGCCCGGCTGCCCATGCTGGGCATGTATCAAACGCGATCAATATCACGGGGGTCAGTTCGGCTTTGACAAGTGTTCCAAACAACCCTCGCATCGAGTCTTCTCCAGCACCATCGGACGACGAGGATCCCATTGATGTCTTCCTCAAGTTTGCTCGGGTTGATGTCGATAGTGATGCGATTCGCGATGGATTAGCTAAATTGGGTATGACTCACTGGAAGATGTTCCATTTGGTGACTTCTGAGGAACTCATCGCTGCTGGAGTTCCAATGGGTCCAGCAAGAACCCTCGCCGAAGCCGTCAAGAGGTACTCCAAGCACTTGAAAAATCAATCCCGTAGCAATATTGCACTGAACATATGAACCGGTCAGCACAAAAACGGTCGATCCTACTCTCATAATGGATCAACCTGTTCTTTTTGCTTTTATCATACACGATTGATCAACTTGTTCTTTTTTTTGCTTTTATCATACACGATTGATCGACTTGTTCTTTTTTCTTTTATCAGACATGACTCATTAGTTTTTCAAATATTCAAAATATCGATCTCAAAAAAAACTGTTTCTTTTTGCTTATTATCTACTACACAATCAACAATCACTCAGATGGCCACTTGTTATTCTTTCAAATTTTTATAAGATTGATCACCAACTTGTTATTTCTCCTGTTATAACACGCAATCAACAAGCAATACAAGGCCTCGCTTGTCGTTCTTTCACTTTTGCAATAGATCGATCTGAAAACGATTGCCATTTTCTGATGGTTCAGCATGAATAAACATTGATTAAGTGCTTATCTCGGTTTGATCATACACAATCAAGTCATTTTTGTCAAATCTTTTAGCATTCAGATCGGCATTGACAACGATCGATCTGTCTCAAATATTACCAAACCCTACTCATGGGACTTTGCGACTCATTAACTTCTGAGAAAAACAACTGCCTAGAACAAGATGATAGAAAACAATCCACAATTCAAACTGCCAAGAGCAAGATTCAATCAATATATCCACACCCTCTAAAGAGCTTTTTCATCAAGCCCGCAGTAAAGACGTAATTAACATGATTTTCGATTGTGGCACCATCATTAATGCCACCATCTAGGTGACCATCACGTCGCAAGGAAGATTTGAGTATGCTAAATCCTTTCTCGATAGGATTCATGTCAGGGGAGTAGGGGGGGAGGTAAAGCAACTGGCAACCTCGGGCCTCAACCAACTGAACAATCCGCCCATTGTGATGGAAAGAAGCGTTGTCCAATACCAGGACGCTCCGAGGTCCAGGGAAGGGATTCATCATCGGCAGCTGTTTGAGGTGCAATTTAGCAGCTGAAACCCCGATAGCAATAAGAAATTTAAGCTTACCAAAATATGCTCCAAGTAGAACTCATACGTTCTTCGGCACACAGTTTCTTGTTGAACCAAGACAGTGACAAGTCCGTCTATCGATACCGCAGGAATTACATTGAATCGATGAGTTGCCCGAGAGACGGGAGCTCGCGAGGTCCTTTCGCCAATTGGGGCCCATCCCTTGGTTTGTCGTACCCCATCGCTACAAATCCCACACTCATCTATCAAACCTCCTTCATGTCAGTCATCCTACACACAATGACTGGGGTTCAAATGGATCGGCCTCTTACCAGTGAAGACCAAAGATTCAGGGCTGTGATACGCTACCATACCAACATAGGCACCTCGCCTTGTTAAATCCTGTCTTGGGTTCACTGTCTGCATAGTCTTTTGAGACATGAACAGTCGATTGTGGAGTTCGTTGGAAATTGCCTGCATAGAGAAGCTGATGTTCTGTTCTTGAAGAAGCGATTGCTGGATTTCAGATAGGTAGATCGTTGGCTGTGAGGTTACGAGGTCCAGAATGAATCGACTTTCCTGGGATGTTAAAGTGATTGGGCGACCGGTTCGGCAATAGGTAGATGGATCACATATGACAGACCGAGTATCTTCATACAACTTCTTCCAGCGTCGAAGTGAATCAGAGCTGACTAGGGTGCCATACAGATCGTTGATTTCGTCTAAGCTGCAGCCATCGAGTGAGGACTTAACAACTGAGAACTTGTATTCTGCAGGGTAGTCAACGAACGGCATTTTCTTTGAAATGTTGAGAAACATCACCCATCAGCAGTCGATTTTCTAAGCAGAGTTTTTATTTTTTTTACTGAACTGGACCTGTCAGAACTGAACTAGTGATGACAGCTGTACCTCCTTGGCTGTAGTTCAGTACAAAGAGAAATTTAAAAATTTTCAAAAAAAAAAAAAAAAAATTCGAGAGACAACTGGACAACCCTTTCCGAAATAGCTGTATTAAAAATTTTTAACTTATAAAGAAATGAAATCTTTAGTTTCTAAATTCTTTCATGCCAAAAATTCAAGCTGACAACATGCGTTGCTGGCATAGTGGTAGCTTCACTCCGCTTCAAGAGCCCCTCCGCATTAACCGCCAATACCCAATCACACAAGTTCGACTCCGATCCTTGGCAGTCATCTTCGCCCAATCCCCGAAACCAGACGGCCTCATGCAGCTCCCCCGTCAACTACTAGCGTCCGCGGCCCTCGCCATGTGCCTCATGGCAGTGTGCATAGAGGGTTGCCCATTATGTGGCAGTCCCATCCCTGCAAGGCTGTTCTGCAGAAAGATGGAGTGGGTGAGCGCTGTAACAAGGAGAGCTTTCGAATGTCGGGAGCCAGGATGCAGCTTAGACGTGTACATGTCCACTTACACTTGTGAGGAATGTGGTACAAAACACCGGGTATCCTGGGAGCCATGCCCCACGCACGATAAACAGGTCGTACTGCCCGCAGGACCGGACGAGCTATGAAGTACGCCGCGGTTGCAGGCATAGCTGTGAAAGGGGAAAAATGTAGGCGACACATGCCGTCCCCCGCACCGAGTATTTTTTCTCACT